TTTTTTTTTTTTTTTTTTTTGTACATTTTATCAAAATATGTGATAAGAACTTTTTGAGATATCTTGTCCACAAACTAATGTCAATGAAAACAACCTACTTCATTGGTTGAAGCAATTGTGTCAGGTTTTATTAATGGCTGTTATTTTCCCAGGAGTTTGTCCCGAGGAGATGGAGAGGCTCCAGAGGATGGGGAGGGTGCTGTCAACACAGCCATGGGGGCACTGCAAGCAGACGGAACACTAGCAGCAGCAGATGATGGAAAAAAGAAAAAAAAGAAGAAGAAGAAGAAGTTGACAAAATCTGAAAGGGCTGCAGTGAGTGTTTTTTGTCAGAGCTTTCAAATTAAATTAAATTGGACACTGCATGGTCATAGGCTGAAAAGGATGTGTGTGTGTGTGTGTTGGGGGGTGGTGGGGGTTTGATGGCTTAAAATACATGCAAGCAGGTTATTTGCACTCCCTGTGGTACTCACCTAGACGCTGACTTAAGAAAAAGATTTTCTGAAAGACTGGGAGAAAGGAATCACTTTTTTTAAGTGTCTGTTTATTTGCATTATAATCTATAAACCTGTTTTAGAGTTCTAAGCTTCGAGGTTGTCACTTTTGAGATAGAGATAGAGACCATTACATTTTACTTGAACTCAACTGCAGCTCAGGTCACAAGACCAATTTAAGTTTCCTCAACCCACTGTTGAGGCTTTTTTAACAAACTCACATTTTCCTTTACAGCTGAAGTTAGAGAAAGCCATCAATGCTTACATGTCCCAGGAAGAGCACTATCGTAACTTCATAGACACAATCCACAACTGGCTCACGGACAAAAAGAACGCCGAGAAGATGACACAGCTGTTTGCTTATTATGACACAAGAGGAGAGAATCATGTCACTTATGATGAATTTAAAGCAGGTGAGTATACAGATAAAGATGCAAGTCATATTGAATATTTTATCCTACTGAAATGTGGTTTACATTATAGTTATACCCTATTAAAGCAATCTATATTTGACTGGTATTTAACTATTTAAGGTAACTAAATGTCTCATAGTAACACCATCTTCTCCAATCATTCAAATGGTGTGTCCTAACACTTTTTAAATTTCAGCTGGGTCTGGTCAAAATGTGTTGTCATTGCCAATGGTTTTTTAAAGACATCACGTAAATAGTAGCATAGATGCTACAAGCATGCCATATTCAACCCTTTTATTGTACTGTAGTTATCATGCACTAAACTAGCTTCACATTGATACAAAAAATTCACTTCCTGTTCTTTTTCATGTACAACATGGCAAAGCTTTCAAGAGAATTTTGACAATGGATATGAGATGTGCTTGCATATGTGATGTGCACCATATAATCCTAACGAAACCACTTTGCCATTCCTTTTTATGATGGTTTGAATAAAAGCATTGACATATCTGTATTTAGAAAAGAAAATCTTGTAAATTTATGTTACAACTTGCCTTAATCTTCTCGTATTTTCAGGTATGCGTGACCTCAATATTCCGTGCAATGTATTAGAACTTCACATCTTGGCCAAGCTCTTGGATAAAGAGGATATAGAAGAAATTGACTACACCATGCTCCCTAAAGGACTGTCCTTTATTAGGTTTGTATTTCACATCTAGTGAATAGATTTAAGTTCTAGGTAATGGAATTGACTTGATTATATACCAGTTTTGTTTTGCAATAACAGTCAGATTTTTGATAAATGTTTTAAAAATAATTTTAATTATCACTGTTAAATATTTCAAGTACTACATGAAAAACTGTAAAATGTACATCTTAACCTTCAGGGAAGCAATGGATGATGATTCAGATTCTGAATCAGAGGAAGAAGAAGCAGAAGTCACAGAGACCCCAGTGGAGGGAAATGTGAAACCCCTAAACACAACGCCTATGCAACTGCTCCTAGGGCAGACACCCCAAGACAAGCCTACGCAAGAGGAGACTGACACACAGAAATATGAGAAGATTAAGTTAATCATGAGTCAGAGGAAGCTGCCTGCCTGTTCAGGATGCAAGCTGGGCATATCAGAACCATACAAGCCAAAGAAATCTAAGTAAGTGATTGAAAATGAACCAAGTTATTTGCATTGAAGGCAGAAGCACTGTCTAATAAGTTTTCTCAACCCATTTTTCATTCCATATTTTATGATGCATTCTGCTAATTATTTACCAATTTTTTAATTAATTAATTTTTTAATTAATTAATACCCTGCATGGGTACCTTAACACATGATCATGGTTCTAAGGTTTAAATAATTTAATGCTGTTAAGATATGCAAGCAAATGGGGAGAATTGAATGAAATGCTTACTATGCTCGAAAAGTGAAAATGTCATGGTAAAAGGTGAAAGTACATAGCAAAGGTGAAGGATAAATGATTTTGTCATTCTCTTTCAATCATTAATTTATTTTACCATTTAGGTACATACAGCTGGAACTGAAGCTAGCCACCTTTGCAAATCTGAACAAACCCCTTCCCCTGAATTTAATCAAGTTGCTCCCTGCCCACACAACTGTAGCTGGTCTGATCAGTTTGGTGGTAAGTGAGCTTCACGTCTCTTCCTCCACCATCGCCATTTTCAGGGACACATCCAGAGATCCTGAGATGGCGCTGGATCCCAGTACGACGCTGGAGGAAAATGGCTACCCTGGTGGCAGTTACGACTCACCTCAGCTCTTGACTCTGTATTATGATTATATCGTGGAGTTCAGAGATTGCCCGTTATTAATGTGTGATCACTATATGAGGAAAGTTCCCATAGAACAGATTATGAAGTCCATAAAGAGGTAATGGACATTGATAACGATGTTCAGTTTTTCATTGCAATATATTTAAAGAATCATCGTAACAAGCAAGACAATCATGTTTAAATTTATAGAGCACTTTCGTCTTGGAATGATTTACCGGTAGTATTGTTTAAGGAAGAGTTGTGGAATTATGGTGTATTTTCTCTATATAATCTCTAAGAAAGTCTTTGAAAAATACAATGTTGTTTAGATTGTTATCAGATATTTCACATTGTTCTGGTTACAAACTCCAAAATATCTCTCGTTTGATTTATGCTGAAGAATGTGCCTTAATATGTCAAATATATTTACATACTTTCATGTAAGGTGGTGATTATAAACTGTAGTTTTATTTTATTTTATTTTTAGTTTTTTATTTCCCATAATTAAATGGAAAACCGAATGCGATGAAAAAAATCATCACAAGATATAATTGTATATAGTCAAAGACAAATATAAAATGCTTCATGAAGCATCATTTTAAGTGGACTTTTCTCTCATTTTAGCACTAGTTATCATAGATGTATTCTATGGCACCTGTTATACATTTTTAATAGAGTGATTTTATTGTTGAATGCATTATGAATCAATTTACAGTAACTTATTTTGTAATCAAGAGATGAACATATTTATGATATATATAGTGGTTTCATATCATGGAAGCGATTAATTCAGATAAGCTGTATGGATCATGCCTTGTGATATTTTTTTAATGCAGAACTCCAGTTAAGATTTATAGAGTTGTGATATACAAACATTTAGATGTGGAATCAATTTTTTCATGAATCATGTTATATGTGATTAGAACAAATAAGAAATTGATTTCATTTTTTAACCTCTGCTGATAGTTATGAATATATTTTAGCTTTAATCATTCACTTATTCTTTTCCATTTTTAGAAAATATTTAGATAAGTTTAAGTGCATAACGTCATTACCTCCAAGTCTATGTCCAATATCTCTAGTCTTTTTGTGCATCATTATGTAACCCTCCGATATTTCAATCTTGTGAATAACATCTAATAATAAGCTGTATATTGTTTAACCATTCAAATGTCTTCTCTGACCTTATCATCACAAAATTGTGATTGTATGAATAAAAAAAAACATACAAAATGTAATATTTAATGTCCATCTCATCAACAATAGTATGACATCTGACAGAGATGAAGAAAACCCATTTTAATACATGCTACATATTTGGACAGGCACAACAACAGAATGAAAGTGGTAAAATGTATAAAATTTAAAGGCAGAAAATATCTCACTGTAAGCTGTGGTCTTTTATAATTCTACAAAATCAATGCTGAATACATTTATGAAGAAAGAGTTTAAACCGATAAAAACCGTGCCATTATGTTTCGACTTGGGAACATTGTCTCCTGAATATGAATAAAGTGGGTGACAAAATGAAAATAAGGACATTAATGATAAATAATGCAGTCAATCAACACTGAATTTTAATCATGCACAAAAGGTAACATGGTCAATAACAGGAGCAGATCCAGAGATATTTTCTGACAGTATTCCAAATTATCTTTGTTGATCCATCCTCCATTTTTGATGGTCTTCCAACAGAAAAAAAATAGATACTCGTTAATGTAAACTTTTAAATCTGACCGTCTTCCAGAAGACCCAGAAGACGGTCTCAATCCACCTCTGCAATAAGATTACAGTTTCAGATACATGTACGTTTGAAATGCACTCAGCGTTTTCATACCTAAACTTTTTTGTTTAAACAGAAAAAAAACGCGTATTTAACTCGGAGGGAAGAATCAACGTACGGCTATAATAGTTTTTGGAGGGAAACCACGCATGCCTCTCCCCCAATAATTATTGACAGTGTCCTTGCATCTTGTTGACATGATATCAACCTGAAGTTTATAAACCTGCCCCAGGCCATCATTGGATGACCTTGTCGGGGCCGTAGCGATAGTCCGAAGGTTCAATAGTCCGAAGGTTCATTGGTCCGAATGTTCACTATAGAACCTTCGGACCAATGAACCCTTGATTAAAAAATCGATAAAAATGTTACCACTTTTCGGACCAATGAACCTTCGGACCAATGAACCTTCGGACTATCGAGACGCCCTCACCTTGTCGGCTTACACTGGAACACTTATTCACAATATACACTGATCCACAATGCACTTTGAAGAAACTTTCATTTCATTTCTTGTTTCACAGATGATGATAATAAAGATAAAGTGATAGTACATTTTTGCTATAAATATTTATGTGGAGTTGTCCAGTTTTTTGGTAGCATTAATTTTCCAAGGAGAAAGGATAACTAAAGGATAATATACTTGCTGTGATTTAATGTTTTCTTTTACTTTTTACATTTGCTTAAATGTTTTAACTACTTCTTATATTTGCTTGAAAGAAGATGGCATGCAGGGCTCCATAGTCCCCCTTTTCACTGTTCAGAACTGGCATGGTTTTAAAAAATTTTCGTGTGTGTTTGGGGGGCGGGGGAGGTAGGGAGTTACCTCCCTCAGCTCCTGTGATCTTTTATATTGTTTAATTACCCAAATTAACAGTCTGTAGATGGTAAGGGGGTGGCGAACCCCAGAAGAAGATTGTTTGCTCAGGGCCACATNTATTTTAACTGCTTCTTATATTTGCTTGAAAGAATATGGCATGCAGGGCTCCATAGTCCCCCTTTTCACTGTTCAGAACTGGCATGGTTTAAAAAAACTTTTGTGTGTGTTTGGGGGGCGGGGGAGGGAGGGAGTTACCTCCCTCAGCTCCTGTGATCTTTTACGTTGTTTAATTACCAAAAATAACAGGTCTGTAGACGAAAAGGGGGAGGGGCGAACCCCAGAAGAAGGTTGTTTGCTCAGGGCAACATATGACCTACGTACACGGAGGTTTCATGGTAAAAGGTCAACTTATAGAAAAAAAACGTCACATTTTGATAATCTACATCTACTACAATTATCCAAATGGTCTTTTATTTAAAAATAAAAAAAGATTAACAAAAAGCATACAACCATATAATGAAGAGGACATTATCAGAATGAGTCTCTAATAACTAAAATGAAAAAGTATACTTTTAGCTGAAGATGGAGTTAAACAATCTGCCTCAACGGGTTCAGGGGTTGGGGTGAGAAGTAAAAAAGTAGAAAGCCAAAATGATGAAATAACCTTAACATGGAATTACACAGCTTATACGAAGCATATTTTTCTGACTGGCGTGGAGTTTTCATTTTTTACCTCATGGAATTTAATGTAAGCGATACTTAGACTACCTGTTCAATACCCGCTAGAGATATGCAGCAAGAAAACAAAGCGGGGACATCTTGGGATATGGTGGCCAGACCATGGACAGACGGCAGAGAGTTACAGGTGGTGCCACCTCTGAAAATGGAGGTAAGGCCAATGATCCGAGAAATTAAGTATTGGACATGTACCGTTAATTACTTTTCGATTTCAATGGTGCGATGTGCGTAGAATAGGTGATATTGCTACTTAAATATGAAGCCTGTTTAATGATGTCAATCTATGGTAAATTACGGGGGATTGTGAAAAATGGGTAATTGAAGGTCTGATCATTCCCCCTTCTTCTACCCCCTAACCCTCAATAGACAAAAAACCATGAAAACAAACATTTTAGACGATACATATTTATATTTTTATTAAAGATAAATTTCCTAAATTGATGGGTTTCAGGGGCGGATCCAGGATTATTAGAAGGGGGGTCCAGAACGACAGATCTCGAACGCGAAGCCGACCATCGCTCCCTAGGCGTGTGGTTCATTGCCTGCTCAAGGGCCCCGAAAATTTTTTGATGTTTTTGAGGGCAAACGGTGCCCTTTGGTGTGATTAAGAACTATTTTTTTTTCAAGAGGGGAATATTGGTGTGATATATTTTTCAGAAACCGAAGGGGGAGGGGTCAGGACCACCCAGTTTCATGTAAAATATTTTTGCTCTTAATCTTTGTTTAATATATAACTGCTTTGAAATGATAATAGAAAATAGTTATCTAAACAGAGCTGTTACATAAACAAATGCTATAATATTCTATTTACTAATTGTTTTGTTTTTTTATGAAAAATGTCTTATTCTAAGTTTCATTTTTTTCTGTGAGCACATTGTGTTGCTATATTTGTATAAAATATCATTTTGATGTATATTTATTAAAACTGAAACATACGGGGAATTTATTAGAATATTAATGACTCATGTAATTTGTTATCTTTTTGAGGTGAAAATAGGCCTAAGCCTGCAATTTTGCCACAAAGCGATTGTAATTTAGCATTAAATGAATCAATATATTATAAATTTATAGTTTATAATTAAGTCATTAAATCAACGATGCAAGACATAGATATATTTTTCTTTAAAAAGATTTATGTGGCATTCTCGATTGAAAGACCAAATCTGAGATGATCTCACATCATAATTCGGCCATGGCGGTGTAGAAGCATACAGGTCAATGGTATTAGCCTACCTATGTCGAGAACAAATATACCCCCCAAAAAATTATAGAAATAAATAAGAAAAAATTAGTATGGAAAATTAAATGGAGTGAAGAGAAAGAAAAATAAGAAACTTCAATAAGATCAAAATTCAATATTGTTTAATGTAATTAAATTGCCGTGTCCACCCTGAAGGGCAGAAACCACTAAATCAGCCAATCAGCTCAACGAATGTAGTTCAGTGAGAATAGAAGTATAAATATTTTGATGCATCTAGAAAGATCTACATAATAGTTGTTGAATACAGTCCGAGCTTTCGGCCCCTGGGCCTTCTTCGGGGAATATCTTCTTCGGGGAATATGATATTCCCCGAAGAAGGCCCAGGGGCCGAAAGCTCGGACTGTATTCAACAACTATTATGTAGATCTTTCTAGATGCATCAAAATATTTATACTTCTATTATTACCAAGATCTATACGGTGAATCAACATGAATCCTCATAGTTCAGTGAGAGAAATGAGTGCTTTTTTCCATTTTTTTCCTGGCATTTCTTGTGTGTTGCTAGGGTTAATTTTCGTATCAACTAGCAGGCTAGGGTGTAAACTATTGCCAGTTTTTTTTTTCAGGACCAGGCACAGGTGCGGTGCAGTCGTGAGACCCCTGGCGGAGGGGGCTACTGACTGTGAGTGGTGCAGCGGTTTGTTTACAAACAGAGGGGTGCACATGTTCAAGTGATGCCGGTAAGAAATTATGTTGGATGACAGTACATTTTTTTGCCATTGGGAGTTACGTCAGTGTGTCTGCTGTCCATGGGGGTGGGAAATGTTTCACAGGGTAATTTTGTTCATGCAGTTTTGCAGGCATTTCTTAGTATGGTCGTCAATGGGAAATTATTTGGTGGTTTCTGCCCTGAAGACAAGACTTTAAATCGACATTCACCTTGTATTTGATTGGTCACAACCTTATCACGCCGGGAGAAAGTGCTGCAGATGTAACATTTCTGGCAGACGAGGAAGGAGTTAGTGTGAAATTTAGGTGAGTTTGTTTCTTCATATTCACTGTTTTGAGCTTCCATAAAGCAGTTATTTAGTTATACATGATTTCTATTACTAATTTGTCGTAGGAAAGGCGATAAGCGGTGGTAAATGCCCTGCCAAAATTGTGCTCGACAAGTTCAAATGACGGCATTATTTTGTATTTTTGGGAACCGAAGGCTACGATTTTTCTATTTGACTATTTGATATCAGTTAATTTTCTTATTTCAAAGATAGACTAAACTGTTTCTTTCATTGTCTACTCATAAACTTGTCAGCTTTCCTGTGTAACAAAAGTTTAAAATTTCTAAAACTAAATTCATAAATAGTATTGCATATGGCAGAAAAATCCGCATTACTCAGTGTCATTAACTTTTAAATGTCTGCACTACATCTCTCCCTTTAGAATACATGTATTCTGAAAACATTGTTAAACCTCTGCAATCGGGAAAGAATTACTTGAAACATTGGATCAGTTTTATGTCTCAAAATTGTTTATAGTGAGACCACATCTTAATTGCTTAATGCTTTATATTCTTAATTGTGATTAATTAATTATTGCCATCAGGCAGATCAGCCCCAACCCCAATCCCCAGTCCATTATAGAGGGTAGGAAAGACCTTTTGCATTCCGCATGATTGGTCTTATTTTTCAAGCGTGATGCATTATTTGAGCCCAATATTCTGCGTGAACTGTGATTCAGGAATTCTTGGTGATTGGCCTGAATATATCTTGGTGATTAGTGATTAAGGAAGGAGTATTCATTTTAGGAGTAGCTTAATTAGACCAAATCAATCAATCTTATTGATGGTGGACCCGTCAACATCATTAATTAAGCAACAGCATAAATACTAGTAGATTTCCAGATCCTACAATCCGCTATGACACTGGCAAGTACAGTTTTGTTCTCCAAGCCATGCAGTGTCCTGGCTCAAGGAAAAGGTGGACATATCATTTTCACTTTGTGTGTGCCATGAGCCATGTGCAGGTACCCAAAGCAGAAATCTACATGCTGCTTTGTCTGTGTGATGATAAAAAAAGGCCAGATGCCTTCAAAGTCTGTAATTTTAGAGGTGACTTTTGGTATATTGCCATAGAGCTCTAATGTTTGGCACTTTGTCCATCCCACTTAGTGCAGCTTTAAGTAATCTGGTGTAGCATCTATTAATACAGACAACCAAACTCAGCCATGTAAACAGCTATGTAACTGTAGTTCTCTCTCCCTTTAAGTTTGTGAACATATCCTNTGGGGTGTAAATCAGCCAATCAGCTGATCAACGAATGTAGTTCAGTGAGAGAAATAAGTGCTTTTTTCCATTTTTTTCCTGGCTTTTCTTGTGTGTTGCTAGGCTTAATTTTCGTATCAACTAGCAGGCTAGGGTGTAAACTATTGCCAGTTTTTTTTCAGGACCAGGCACAGGTGCGGTGCAGTCGTGAGACCCCTGGCGGAGGGGGCTACTGACTGTGAGTGGTGCAGTGGTTTGTTTACAAACAGAGGGGTGCACATGTTCAAGTGATGCCGGTAAGAAATTATGTTGGATGACAGTACATTTTTTTGCCATTGGGAGTTATGTCAGCGTGTCTGCTGTCCATGGGGGTGGGAAATGTTTCACAGAGTAATTTTGTTCATGCAGTTTTGCAGGCATTTCTTAGTATGGTCGTCAATGGGAAATTATTTGGTGGTTTCTGCCCTGAAGACAAGACTTTAAATCGACATTCACCTTGTATTTGATTGGTCACAACCTTATCACGCCGGGAAAAAGTGCTGCAGATGTAACATTTCTGGCAGACGAGGAAGGAGTTAGTGTGAAATTTAGGTGAGTTTGTTTCTTCATATTCACTGTTTTGAGCTTCCATAAAGCAGTTATTTAGTTATACAGTACATGATTTCTATTACTAATTTGTCGTAGGAAAGGCGATAAGCGGTGGTAAATGCCCTGCCAAAATTGTGCTCGACAAGTTCAAATGACGGCATTATTTTGTATTTTTGGGAACCGAAGGCTACGATTTTTCTGTTTGACTATTTGATATCAGTTAATTTTCTTATTTCAAAGATAGACTAAACTGTTTCTTTCATTGTCTACTCATAAACTTGTCAGCTTTCCTGTGTAACAAAAGTTTAAAATTTCTAAAACTAAATTCATAAATAGTATTGCATATGGCAGAAAAATCCGCATTACTCAGTGTCATAAACTTTTAAATGTCTGCACTACATCTCTCCCTTTAAAATACATGTATTCTGAAAACATTGTTAAACCCCTGCAATCGAGAAAGAATTACTTGAAACATTGGATCAGTTTTATGTCTCAAAAAAGTTATAAAAAATTGTTAGTCATCCATAAATTGTTTATAGTGAGACCACATATCTTAATTGCTTAATGCTTTACATTCTTAATTGTGATTAATTAATTATTGCCATCAGGCAGATCAGCCCCAACCCCAATCCCCAGTCCATTATAGAGGGTAGGAAATACCTTTTGCATTCCGCATGATTGGTCTTATTTTTCAAGCGTGATGCATTATTTGAGCCCAATATTCTGCGTGAACTGTGATTCAGGAATTCTTGGAGATTGGCCTGAATATATCTTGGTGATTAGTGATTAAGGAGGGAGTATTCATTTTAGGAGTAGCTTAATTAGACCAAATCAATCAATCTTATTGATGGTGGACCCGTCAACATCATTAATTAAGCAACAGCATACTAAATAGATTTCCAGATCCTACAATCCGCTATGACACTGGCAAGTACAATTTTGTTCTCCAAGCCATGCAGTGTCCTAGCTCAAGGAAAAGGTGGACATATCATGAGCCATGTGCAGGTACCCAAAGCAGAAATCTACATGCTGCTTTGTCTGTGTGATGATAAAAAAAAGGCCAGATGCCCTCAAAGTCTGTTATTTTAGAGGTGACTTTTGGTATATTGCCATAGATCTAATGTTTGGCACTTTGTCCATCCCACTTAGTGCAGCTTTTAGTAACCTGGTGTAGCATCTATTAATACAGACAACCAAACTCAGCCATGTAAACAGCTATGTAACTGTAGTTCTCTCTCCCTTTAAGTTTGAACATATCCTTTTGTGTAACACTAACATATGCTTGTACCCATATGTTTATAGTATGTTTATGGTAAATTTATAATCACACCAAGGTTTATCTCACTAGTACTTAGAGCGCATTCTCAACGAATTAAGCCAGGCTTTACAAAGCCGGTGACCTAAAAATGGCGGACGTACATGAAAGAAAAACCGCCTAATCTTTTAATAGTCTCTCCGCCTCTCACACGCCTCCCCACACGACGTCCCTGCGNTTTATGAGTAATTTTACTAGTACATATGTTCATTATATAAAGATTGTTTTTTCATTCACAAACAGCCGCTAGGCAACATAATTACCAACTAGAGAAATGGTAATGCACCAACTGTATTGTATCGTCATTGGTATATCATATTGTACAAGGTCATGACAACCTATGTACCAGTACAGAAATAAATTGTATGGAATTGAATTGAATAATGTAGACTTCAAAGGGAAGCTGTTAGTAATTAGACTGGTGTGTTAATTAGATATTGATGCAGACATCTCATGATCCAGATAAAATTCCCAGACTGTTGGCTGTTTGTGTATACCTCAGTGTCCAGGCTTTATGTACTGGTCGTAAAATTTAAGCCTTGTGGCTTAGGGAAGTTAAAAATATTTAAAGCATTTAGTCAAATGTATCATTGATCTGATTAATTTTTTTCCCCAGTTAGCTAATTTTATAGTGAAATTACTGATATCTGGTGAATTTGTCAGAATTTGAAGTTTTAAAGAGCTGGGGTGTCAGGATTAATTGACGCTTCTTCCTTTGAAACATAACCTTTACCATGGAGAAGAACTAAATTACAATAAAGCTGTACATTAATATATATCCAGCAGTATTAGTATGTTGAACATTATGTATTAGATATTGGGATAAGTGTCAGAAGCTCTTTAAGACAATAAAATTTCCATGGTTTAAATATTAGTAGTCACAATTTACATGCAGTAAAGGGTGTGATGCAATGAAATGTGGATACAAATGTTGTGAAAATCATGTATTGAAAATCAAAAAGAAAAGTATTATTATTATTATTATTATTATTATTATTACAGGTAGAGTTATATCAGTCAGTGGTATCATCATGGCAGGGCGTGGGCGTGGCGCGAGGATGAAGAAATTAAATGGAGGGAGTCTGGAAAAACCCAGACAACTGAAGATACAGCAAGGTACTGCAGGTCTGATTATTTTAATTATCTAAACAATAAATTCCTCACTCATGCACATACTGGCCTACCCTATAACTATATATAGACAACACATGCATTGAAGTATTATTTAATTTACTTCATTTATTCTATTTGACTTTTTTTCTTTAATAAATAATACAGTTTTTTCACAATCTTCAACTTAAGTACACTGTGCATTTATATTTTTCCATTTGACACTTATTGAACTGTGATTTACTTAATTTTGTGTACGTAGCATATTCCACATTAATTCATGTTTCACGATTTATCTTTTAAGTAATTTCAATTAAGGAAGATGAATTCTGTATATATTGACATCCTTTTGAGCTGACAAATACAACCAAACTTGTTTCATAAAGAATTTGTTTCAATTATGTCTCAAGATCTTGTTTGCTGCTTATTTCATCTTAATTTTTTGCACCTCTTGGTTTTCTAATTTTGCACAGATATATTCATATTCCCATAAATATGTCTTATAATCTAATTCAGGCTTACAGTTTAAGTCTAATTAATCTCCTAATTAGCCCATTGGGGACTTCAGCTGTATTACTGGGAAAACAGCTGTTCTTGGTCTTGGCACATATTTCATTGGACTAAAATGTAGGCCCGGAAATAGATTTAAAAAAATTGATTTGTGTAAAACATGACAAACCTACCTAGTGTTATTCTTTGTCTCAATACCATTTTAGTGATGACCAATCTGAGGGAGGCAGAACAGATTGTGTATAAACTGTCAGACAGAAAGGCGTCACTTCAAGAGGTCAGTGACCTGTGCTCCATCTCGAAGAGGCATGGGAAGGAACTGGAGACCAGAAATGAGAGTAATTACTTGGAACTTGTTTTTTTAGTAAGTTTGGAGTAATCATACATGTTATAATTGATCCATTGCATACTCATTTAAAATTTACATTGAATTATAATTTTCATTTTCATCTATCCAGGTGGATGGATACGTAACAATGAATAAAATATATATATGTAACTTAAGTACATACATATGTAAATTAATATTTTTCAACTGACACCTGTTCAACATTGACTGGCTTTAACTTGTGCATATTCCAGAGGAAAGGGGGGTCACACTTCACTGTGATTAAGTGACCAAAAGTCAGTTTTAATTGTCACACTCATTGATTACGAATAAGCTGTTTAATTGTAAGACACTTCTTTTTCTGTCACCTGTATCTTGCGTCTTTAATTTTAATTAATTGCTGCCTAGATTAGTAATCTGAGCACCTTTCCATTAAAGATAATTAAAGCAGCTTTTGAACTATATTTCAATGCAAATTTTTAAAACTTCCATCTCCCTTAGTTGGTTCTTACTGAACTTGTACAGAACATGTAGATGATGACCACACCTTTCATTTCAGCTACCCTTAATAAGATATTCAACACAATACGTCAGGCAGCTAATTAAGGACCAGTATCTCAACTCTCAGGGCAGAGGGCTAGTTATGGACATACTGGAGGCCAGGGCCAGGAAATGGGCAGGGCCAGACCACGTCACCCAGGGACACTAAGAAGCAGAAGCAGCAGGAGATGGCTCTCATACAGGTGGGTGGGGTGTGGCAGCTGGCTAGAGAGAGGGTTGTGGCATTGAGTTGGGTTACATTGCATTAAAAAAGCTACAACGTGAAAGGAGTGGGAATCTCCTTGGAACCTTACAGATTTTTCCTGTTATAGGTGATATTTGTCTGATATACTAAACTGATGAACAAATGAAATCCAGAAATAGAAGTAGGAGCCCTGGCACAGCTTTGTGGCAGAAATACAGTAGCCCTAAAAAGTAAGCACAATGGGACATTATTTTACCATTTAGGTATAGCCACCTTTGCAAATCTGAACAAACCCCTTCCCCTGAATTTAACCAAGTTGCTCCCTGCCCACACAACTGTAGCTGGTCTGATCAATTTGGTGGTAAGTGAGCTTCACGTTTCTTCCTCCACCATCGCCATTTTCAGGGACACATCCAGAGATCCCGAGATGGCGCTGGATCCCAGCACGACGCTGGAGGAAAATGGCTACCCTGGTGGCAGTTACTCCCCTCAGCTCTTGACTCTGTATTATGATTATATTGTGGAGTTTAGAGACTGCCCCTTATTAATGTGTGATAACTATATGAGGAAAGTTCCCATAGAACAGATTATGAAGTCCATAAAGAGGTAATGGACGTTGATAACGATGTTCAGTTTTTCATTGCAATATATTTAAAGAATCACCGTGACAAGCAAGATAATCATGTTGAAATTTATAGAGCACTTTTGTCTTGTAATGATTAAGTATTATTTATCAGGAAGAGGAATTATGGTGTGTTTTCTCTATTTAATCTCTGACAGTCTTTGAAAACTTCATCCACAGTGTTGTTTAGATTATTATCAGATATTTCAAATTATTCTTGTTACAAACTCCAACAATTCTCTCATTTGATGAATGCTGAAAGATGTGCCTTAATACATGTAAACTACATACATGTAAGGTGGTGATTATAGATGAACTTTTTTAGAGCTTTTGATTTTCTATAATTAAATGGAAAACCGAATGTGATGAAAAAATCATCACAAGCTATAATTGTATGTAGATAAAATTTATATAAAATGCTTCATGAGCATTATTTTATATGGAATTTTAATCTTTCATTATAGCACTAGTTATCATAGATGTATTCTATGGCACCTGTTATACAGTTTTAATAGAGTGATTTTATTGTTGAATGCATTATGAATCAATACATCGTAACTCACTTTGTAATCAAGAGTTGAGGAAAAAAATCGATTAATTTAGATGTATGCAGTTTATCTTGCCTTGTGATATTTTATAATGCAAATCTCCAGTCAGGATTTATAGAATTGTGATAATACAAAGATTTAGATGTGGAATCAATTTTTCTCATCAGAATCATGTTATTTGTGATTGGAACAAGTAAGACAATGACTTCATTTTTTTTATCTCATCTGATTGTTGTGAATATAATTATTCACTTATTCGTTTCAATTTTTAGAAGTAAACATTGAATAACGTCATTACCTCCAAGTCTTTGTCCAATATCTCGTCTTTTTGTGCATCATTATGTAACCCTCCAATATTTCAATCTTGTGAATAATAATAATCTTGTGATAATAATAATCTTGTGAATAATCTAATAATAAGCTGTATATTGTTCAACCATTAAAATTTGTCTTCTCTCTGACTTTATAATCACCAAATTGTGATTGTATGAATGAAAAAAACAAAAAACGTACAAAATGTAATATTTATTGTCCATCTCATCAACAATAGTATGACATCTGACAGAGATGAAGAATACCCATTTTAATACACACTACATATTTTGACAGGCACAACAACAGAATGAAAGTGGTAAAATGTATAAAATTAAAAGGCAGAAAATATCTCACTGTAAGCTGTGATCTTTTATAATTCTACAAAATCAAGGCTGAATACATTTATGAAGAAAGAGTTTAAATTGATAAAAACCATGCCATCTTTCATATATATTATTTTGGAATCATCAAAAATATATTTTTGTGCAGCATTTGTCACCATGGTTCTTTTAGGCAGCATGAAGGATTCAAGGCACAAAATTTGACTTTCAGTGTAAGTAAATGCCATAATTTAGTAGTGTTCATCTCTTTAATGAGTAGGCTCTTTCAGCACAAATGCAACAATAAATATTGTGACCTCAGATAGCAAAATAAATTCCAATAGTCTTCATCACAGTTTTCTTAACACAGTTAAGCGCATAAAATATGTATTTCAATATAATACCTTCCAGGCCAAATCAGTTGGAGGTCCCAAATGTATTCTTAGATGTTCACTTCTAAAGGTCCACATTCTTATCATTATCTAAAACAGACCTTATGTGAAATGCTGCATCCTTGGCTAGATCATCTATAAAACACCAACTGCATTATTTTACATACTGTCAGTCTCAGCACCTAAAACTGCTAGTTTTCAAGACTGGTTCAGAAGTGCATATCATAAAATAATATCGTTTCTGACATGCCACATCCAGTCTCATTAGTTACATCAAACTTGAGTGGACTCATTTTGATAAAATATCCTGCATAAAAATAAATAAAGAAAAACTACCAATATACCATTTTTTGTTTCATTTAGCTAGAAAATGAAAATTTTCTTAAAACTCCAAGGTAACATACTTAAAGAAGTGCTGTATTACACCTAACCAGGATACAGTAGATTTGACCTACAGTTGTACCCTGAGAATCCAGTTAATCTGAGTCCATCTCTAGCTTCACAGCATGCAGTGCAGCATAACACTCCACTGTGACATTCAGGTGTCCTATAACTGTGCTCTCCTCATCTATGTCATAGACTGGAAATAGAAATAGAAAATATGATTGCAACATAGACAAGCTATCAAAAAAAAGTTTTTGCATTCACACACACTTATTCATAAATACATTTATGTAAAGTACAGTTTTGTGGAACTACATATCCATCATTTTTTAAGCTATTCAAAAACAAAAAACTGAAACTGAGCACTATGAAATTGAGGAGGCAGGTATTACAGTAACACTTAAAAAAGAGCAACAGAACTACTTTTTATTTAAAAAAAAGACGCTTAAACTGACCACTACTAACATTTTGGTAAGAGTTTGGAGCAAATATTTGATAATTCCTTTAGCCTGCAAACTCTCCTTTTTCGTTTACAACACATTTCTGACTTTTCACTTCACTTCAACCTACTAGGTATATCTCTGTCAATGACGTCCTCTTTCTTCTCCAGAATCTCTGTCAGACTGACGAAAGCTGTGCCGACATCATTGCACTCACCAGATTCGTCATCTTCTGGAGGCTCACTTACCACAGTGAAACGAATCCTGTGATAAAAAAAAAATATATATATATATATATATATATATATATATGGCTTTATAAAATTATAATAAAAAAACAATAATAAGAACAATAACAATAATTTTTATTCAGTTAAAACTATTGAAAATATATAAAATACATACTTAATCAAAAATTAATTCAACTACTCAAATCACCCCACAAATTAGGTTCACAGATCTCAATCTATTTGATTTGTTTTCAGATATTTAAGATAGCAAATTGAAAAAGTATTTTAAAAATTGAGAAATAACACAGTAGCAAAGTGAAATTTAATATTTCTATAGGTCTTCTGATGGTGTTTATAGTTTTACCTGAACAGCTCAAATTAAAAAAGAGAGGGAGTTTCAGTTAAAAAAAAAACATGCTGACTAAGTGAACCAGTAAATAGACTGGTAAAAACGTAAAAAGGGAAAAATATGCACATCTGCACAGACACAGAGAGAGAGAGAGAGTCAGTCACTGACCTTCCTTCATCTGGGTCATCTGGTAATAACATGCTGGCCAAATATTGTCTACTCTCGTAGTGGTCCTGAGCATCTACATGGAACACTGGAAACAAAGTATGGACCATAAAGTATATGACTGGGTTCCCACAGATTTAGATCGATCCATCTGGATCAACATAACTCTATGGGGGTTCACGCTTAATTGCTGTCAGCTTCCGGGAGCCGAGCATGCACAAAAGTTAATTACCCCCTAACAGCTTTTAGTAGGCGGAACAGACATTTAAGCTGCTTAAGCTGACAGCAATCTAGTGAGACTCCCCAAGGGGATAGATCAATCTAAATATCTGTGGGAATGGTCTCTATGACATAACACAGCACATTATAACATAACATAATGTATGTGGTTTAAAACAAAATCATAACATATAACAAAATGCCACAACAAAACATGAGATAGTACATATTAAGTTAATGTAAGCCTATATTCACAGCTAAACTGAGGGTTTAAGATTTTCATGTTAACATATTACTTTTATATATTTCTTTCATTAAAGATTGTTCTACATTAAATTTTTTTTTTTTTTTTTTTTTTTGCAAGATTTCTACAACATATTTGTCTTTGTCTTTATGTAAGGCAGTCACTAGCATATGCAGCATTATAATTTACCTAATTTATCTAATAATGATTTGTGTGCTACCTGTTGACCCTAGGCCAGAAGGTAATCAGTTTTTACAGTTGCGAACATTACCAAGTGTGGCAATATGAAAGCCATAATTATATCATTAGCCATTTCAACCACATCCTGTGGCACATTTGACTTACAGTGAGGAATCACTGAGACAGAATTTCAATACAGCTACTATCAGAAACAAAGTAATTAAATATGACCCTTGTTCTGAGAAAAGCATTTTAATTTTTGTTGATATCTCACATGACTGTATGCATTTTGTTAGTTTGTTACTAAGGGTATTTTTTCAAAATCTTAGTCAATTTGCTTAATAGGTTTTTGGGTTATATTACAGATACTATTCCAGTGCCTTCAGCTTCTTCTATTTGGCAGTATATTTATTTCATACTTTATGTTTGCTGCAAAGTCACTGCACACCATTTTCATTACTTGCAACTGTAACTTTACTGAACTACAACAGTAAACTGCTACTGCTACCACTGTAACATTACTTTCTCTGTAATAGCAACTGCTACTGCAGCTGCATACAATGTTAGGTCCTTCTCCAGGAGATAAACTCCATCAAAACATATACATCATGTAATGTAGAGAAGTTCATTTTCTACGCATCAAGGTATGCACAATAAACAAAAACTGAAAAAATCCTATTAATTTTCATTGGTGAAATCCTCACCTTTCTTGAAATTGAAATAGATCTGTTGATCAGGCTTTGGTTTTGGCAGTGATACGGGGGTCTCCAGTTCCTCTGCAGGGAACCCCAGGAACCTGTATTCCACAAAAAGCTGCTGTACTGCAGGGTTGCTGAGAGCAGACGCCCCCTCCTCTAAGCTTAGGTGAGCTATGGTCACCACTACCGTGTCTGGGTTCTGTACATGAAAAAAAAAAACATTTTAATTTAAAAAAAATCCTCAATAAGCACTTCCTTCCCAAGGTTCATGTGCTAAAATTCCATAGGTTCCCCTGAATGGGTGCGGATTTTCCCTGACCATTAATGGTTACCCAGCGTCCACTTGGGTTAAAGCCATTCAGTGGCCACTTACCCCCTGCACTGATGACCTTGAGGCAGCCCTGGGGGCGGGGGTGATGACCAGTCCTTCACTGTCTGAATCCTCCTCTTCCTCCTCCTCCTCACCCTCTACTGTCTGCTTGGCACCAGGGATTTCTATTTCATCTTCTAGGGTGGAATCTGGTGGAAAATATTTAACACATCATTTTTGCTAAACAAAAGATACGCGCCAGTTCTTTTGTCTAATCCTGAGCTCTCAACTTGTAGTGTACTTTTAAGTTTTTAAAATCAATTTGTAATGAAATTCTACAGCAATCAGAAAATCTGAAAAATTAGAAGCACCAGCTTGATGATAAAACGGTATGAAATGAACATTAAAATAAACTTTTTTTTCAATAGTAAAAGTAGAAATTATCATTTTGCTTCAGGTTTGCTAATTATTGGATTTTGAAAAAAAGCTGTCAAGGATGGTCACCTTCTTCGTCCTCCTCCTCCTCATCTCTTTCTTCTTCAAACATGGTGTCTTCAGCACTCTGGGCAGGTTTCCCTTTCTGGATTTGACAGAATTGGAATTGATAAAAATAGACTTAATACACCTACTAGTAAAGTGTGACAATTTTTAAAAGATGGAATGTAAACAAAGCAATATGATGCACAAGTGACTGTCACCAAATGCCATGAATGAATAAACCAAGATGCTATGTACAAGACCCTTCTGAATCAGTCTAATTGTATAGTTTCAATCTCTGCTGGTGATTTTGACTAATATATATATATATATATATATATATATATATATAAATTCATTATTAGAAATTATAAACTTTATTATTTCATTCACCTTGACTTTTTCTCCCAATTCCTGAGCTATCAAGTCATCAGCATCTTCTGATTCTTCTTCCTCCTCATCTTCTTCATCTTCTTCTTCTGCAGCTTTAAGAATACGGGATAAGACATTGATGTAGAAGTCTGAATAAGTCATTTTCTAATTGGTCAAAAACAATGAGATCTACAACTTGTGTGACCCACAAGAGTGGAACTGTAACATAACTATATTAACCCATCTACAGGTTTTTGTATTTCAGACTTGGCATTTTAAAATTAAGGTCTCACAACTCCCAGTCCGACTATAAAAGAAATTTCACACTCTGGCAAAGAAATTGATGTATAAGTAAATACAATCTTTGTCATTGCATAAATGCCACCCTTGCTTCGACTAAATCAAATTGTTTATGATGAAGTGAAAAAATTCAAAATATACATAATCATTGTCATATAAGAATCGCATAAAGTAAAATAAAAACATTCCTATATCATCAGAAAGAAATGAGGAATAGGCCACACTGGATTTTCCCTTTTCAGCAGCTGAAATAATAAGACAGGATTAGATGTTAGTTTTTTACACACAAAACTAAAGTGCTATGCTATATCATGAAATATCACGTGAAAATCTGTCTCACCAGCCGACAGGTTAAACTCAGAGAGCTAATTGTAGCCAAATACGCCACTGCTGTATATCACAACAAAACATAGAAAGTCACACATAAATCCTGAATGTCAGGAAATGCCATGATGAAATGGCATGAAATACTCACAGTGAGATTGTAACAAATGTGATATGATTTAAATGTTTTAAATTTATTATTATAATAACTAATTAAAAAGCATTTTAGCCCGATTGTCAATGAAAGTGACTGCTTTCAACCAATAACACACTATGTTAGTCCAGAGCATCTAATATCACTCGTAACTTGGTTGTTTTCCTTTTTGCATCAAAACCAATTAGCCTAAGATTATTTTTTAATCCACACGTGATGACATAACTATCACATCAGCAGTGATATTAACATACACTCCTAAATAAAGACTAAAATGAAAATATCCTTATGAGATTATAATCCACTTTTTAAGAGAAAATGTTATATCAAGTTAATTCACTGCACCACAGCCACACAAATACCTTGTAAAATATCCTTCACTCCTGGAGGCTCTGGTTTCTGTTGACCTTTTTTACCTACAGCTGATAATAAGTATCTGATTCAAATTCATCCTTATTCTCACATGTTTGAGTGATATCACATTTATTTTTGCAACTCCTTAGTCTTTGAGTCACTTCTGAGAAAGCAAAATATCTTGTCCTAATAATATTTTGTTGTGTAAAGTGAATATGATATGACGAAAGTTTAAGAGATCTTTTAAGTTATCAAGCACTGTGGTCAATACCCCCCCCCCCCCCCAACAGGAACACATTCAAGAGCAATCTGTGCAGGATTCACTGAATCATGATGAAAAACCCACTCAGTTTAAAATACAATCACCACAATAAAGTACACTTCAAACAGACAACATCATAAAAAACTGGAAAAAATAATGATAAGACATATAACCAGTCACTTTCACAACAAATGTGCATTTTTGTCTCTGTTTAAAACCAATTCATCTGAAGGTGAAGTGAAAATTTGCTGTTTATCCCAAAACATGCCAATCATTCAATGAACACAGCTGTGCCATATTTTTACTCGTCAAGCCAAAACACACATAATTCACCAACTTTCACCTTTCTCTGTAAAAAGATTTTTTGATGCTTTCTTTTTGACAGGCTCTTTGCTTTGGTCAGTCCTTATTTTTCTTTTCACATTTTCCAGAACTGTGTCCTCTTCTTTAAATGAGAGAATAATGAGTAAATAATACTTATTGGCAAATCTAACACCTTTGAATTTTAATTTATCAGAAAGTAGTCTTGCCTTGAATAGGAATTGGACATATCAAACTGTTCACTTAGTTTCCAATTACTGAAAATATTCAACTTAAATTTGTCCTCATTGTGCAACTTGCATTAATTTGTGCACCCACACACAGCAAATTACTGCATAAGAAAGGAACATTAAATGGCTTATCATTTAGACACTTGAAGTTATCAATAGGCACTGATCAAAGGTCACGCCACCCAAAAATAAATAGATAATTTCTATTTGAAGACATTCTTGCTTTTTTTTTCAAAACACACTTGCCAACACTGCAGATGACATCCAAAACATCGGTATCAATATAAAATATAAATTGAGAATCACGAAACAAAAATACACCAATAGATACTGAACAAGAGAAGCATTAGCCTAAATAAAAATGAGATAACTGTGTACATGTTTTAGTCAATCGGAGAAGAAGTAAAGTCAAAATAACAATGGTTATTCAAACATCCAAGCACACATTATTATTGGACACAAAACCATACGAGCAGCACCTTCAGTCAGTGATTCAACAGATTTATCAGTTTCATCTTCTTCCATAGTCCTATCAGCATCAGGTGTGACCTTGACATTTGACCTTGATGCCACCTTGACCTCTGACCCTGAATCTCTTTGGACTTTTGCCAGTTGGCGTCTCACTGGAGCAGGGGGTGCTGAAACTTTATTATATCTAGATCTGAAGCCTCTTTTTCCTATCTTGGTAAGGAATGTTCACCAGTGACGGATACATAGTACAAATGATATACTCCCAGTTTTCATTATCACCCAACCAGTTTAAGGGTGCTAATGTATCATACATGCTGATGAAACAGAGATTGGCTCCCAGAAAACTGAAATCTAGGTCCACTGTTAAGGTCATGATGTCTTACCAATGTCAGAACACTTAATTGGAACACAAATCTGTTTTACTGTTTAAACATATGAAATGTATGACACAAATCTAGGTCATGACCTAGTTCCTTACCTTCCATCTCCTCCTCAGCTATATCCTCAGGCTTGTCTTGTTGCCCTCCACTTGTAGTGCCACCTGCCACCACCCCTTCACCTAGCAACAACATGCAAATTAAGCATGCAACCAAGCAACAACATATAAGCATGCACATGCACCAGCACACCTACCTATGTGTGTATATACCACTGATGCTGACTTTTCATTCTCAATTACATGTTTTTCTCAAATAGTCCAAAACAGAATTATCTTCCTAAAGAAAAACTGAAATCTTGTTTCTTTTCTTTCTTTCTTTTTTTTTTTTTTTCGTTGTCAAAAAGTCCAAATGGTACTGAGATTTCCCATGGTATCATGTTGTGTGATAATTTGAGGTGTATTAAGACAACTGGTTAAATTGGGACTTAACTAGATAACCACTTAAATGCCAAACAAATAATAAAGCTTGGTCAATGACATTTTGTAAATATATTCAGTTACTAGACACCATTTCTGCTTTAGGGCAGTAGATTCATAAGTAGCTTTTGTGTGTGTTTTTTTAATATACAAAACAAGTTCTACATGTTGGTTCTATTGTAAGTTTAAATCATCACTCTCATTATGTAACAAAAGTTTTGGCAAAATTTAGTTCTTGGTTAAGTTATCCATCCCATTCTTCCCACAACATAACATGCAACACTGTGTATGTTTAAGTTTAAACATGGCAACCAAGGTTAAGCCAGCATATATTCTACTAGTTCTAGCAAATAAATAAATAAAAAGCCACTAATCAAAATCCAATTTTCTAAACCATCCTTAGCAGTGATGTGCATTCAACAGCAAGTATCTCATGCTTAATTTCTGATAAAAAATAGGCAAAAAAAAAAAAAAATAATAATAATAAATAATAATAATAATATATAAATCTGACGTACTGGAGAGTTCTGACACTTCTGACATCTCCTCCTCCTCTTCTTCCTCATCAACAGTTTTAGGGGTTGTCTGGTCAGTGTCAGGGTGTCCCCGGGGGAGTGGGGTGGGTTTGGTGGGCGTGGCCTTCTCTGGTGGGTGCCTGGTGGGTTTTTCTGGAGGAACTGGGTGATGTCTCTCTGGGGGCTGAGGAGGGTGTGGCTGAGGTGGGTGAGGCTGCTTGACTGGGGTTTCTACATCATCAGCAAAACCCACATGGTCTTTTTTCTTCCTTGGTGCTGCCAAGGGTTCCTTGATCAGAAGATTGCATATTATTTAATGTCAGAACTAAACAGCATAAATGAAGACTATAAAATGATTTTCCCTTTAAAAAATTTATATAAATTTATCCTTCTACTTTCAAAGACATGATTTTTAAGGTTAATATATTTTTTTTGGCTTCCATTACAGCCTAACCAACCATTAGAGCCTAACCAACTTTTTCTCTCTTCTAATAGTTTTTTTGCCAAGGAAAGTAAAATGTCAAGGTTTAGCTAGAAAAAAAAGGGGGAAAAGTGTCATTTTTGTCATATGGTAGGATACGGTCTGATTCCACTCTCTTATTACTCCCTAATCCTTCTCTTACCAATGTATCACCCATGCTATTATCCAAGGACTGGAGTGGTCTCCCTTGGTCCCGGGCTGCCGGGAGTGGTGTGGAAGCTGCAGCCGGTCCTCTACTACCTGGAGGCTTAGGCGTCTTCAGTATGCTGTGGGGTGCGGCTGCAATCACTGGACTGGCCACTGTCAGGTCTTCCCCATGAAGCAGAGGCACCTTCTCTGGCTTCATGGGGGTGGTGGCAAGGATCTGGGAATGAATGAGGTCGTGTCTTTGTCACAATGGTGATAGTAATGAGCTGTACAGTACTGTACTGTATCATACAGTACAGTATTGCATGTATTGTATTTTATTGTACTGTATTGTATCGTATCATATTTTATTGTATTGAGATGCATCACATTGTATCGTTTTGAATTGTATTTAATTAAGATGCATCACACTGCATTGCATTGCATTATTTTGTATTGTATTGTATCGTATTGTAAGAACTTCCCCTGCCTTACCTGTGCTGGTGTCTTGGTAGATATACTGGGAGGCAGATAGGTATACTGCCATTTCAGCTGAACATCCACTGTTCCATTGACTGTACCATCAGGCTGGAAAGTTCACAAGATTCTTATAGTTCATGCATCAATTTTATACAAACTTAACTAAGAAAGAAAGAAAGAGCCCAGCAGGCAAATGACATTGATTCTACGTTGATTCAACGTTGATCTACCAAAATTAACGTTGATTCAACAGTGAATCAATGTCGTTTGTCTGCTGGGACCAATATATATCTAAAATTGAAAAAAATTATTCATGACAAGGTTATATACTAATTTGACTTTTGTACAAATATGATATTTACAGATATGAATTTGATTACCAAGCATGAAGGAATACCATCAAAAATGCAATACAAATCTGTTATAACATATCACATTTCCTGTTGACTGTCTGTGTATCTTCCTGCTATCAATTCTTCTATTTTACCCATGACCTCATTAACAATTTTAAATTCTCTGTAATACACATCTGCAGCCCACATTATAAACAGTTATCTAGTCATTAGACTTAAAGACAGCTAGACGACCTGCTAAATAGCACCCTTTTTTTCAACTCACCGCATGGAGTTCAAATATCCCCTTGATGGCTTTATCATGTGACAGGGGCAGAAGTGGAACAGAGGCCATGCCAAGATAAGCCGCCTCCTCTGGATCCGTGTCATCAAACACATATACTTGCAGGTGCTGTAATATAGGTTTTAAATCATACAGGCTAAATTATAAACACAAAACTGGAGGGCACTCCAACAGCGCAGACCTCCACCAAGAAAAATGAGAAAGTAGACTGGTTCCCTTTGTGGGTTAATTGTAACCAAATTAGGTTATCTCAACTGGGCTGATAATTTGCCTCAAGTCTACAGGATCTCCAGAATTATTTAAAAGTACTAATATTGGTGCATCTTCTAATGCTTATATTACATTTTAGTTGAATACTTTAAAACAGAAAATAAATCCATCATTAAATGCTAAAAAGGAAGCACTTTCACTACAAAAAAAAAAAAAATCATCTGTTTTCATCTCTAGCTTATTTTGTGACAAAAATGATACAATATTTGATTTGGCAAAGACATGCTACAGCAACACGTGTCCAATGTACCTGTGACTTGAGATAGATGTCTAAATCAGCAGTCATTGGAACAGGGAATGTCTTGTGGTCACTGAAGTTTGGATTATTGCTACTCTGTACAATGGACGTGTCGTGGTCAGGAAAGTCAAAGAACTTGTACACCACATAAGGTGATGGCTGTACTTCTGGAAGAAATGTAAATAATGAAAATTAATTTTAGATTTCATAGATCAAAATCAAACTGTATAATGATGATGATACCTCATGTCATACTGAACTGCAGGTATTACTATTATTCAAAAAATATTCAACAGAGATGTTTTTTAATAAAAGTTTTTCTTTTAATTACACTAAATAACATAAAAATATATCTCCTCCCAAATTGTGCTCATGGATGATGCCTCTAACCATTTAGCATTTCAGGAATGTTATTTTTTATGATGGTTTAAAACTTTGAATATATCAGTCAAAAATTGAAGTGATTTTCCCCAATTCCCATAAACTATACATAATTTGCCAAGTTACCTTTAGAAACACTTCAAGACTTTTTCCAATTAAAATCAGAAGTAAATTTTTTTAAAACTAACTAAAAAATCTAAATTTCAGTAAAACAGTACCTCCTCTCCTGGCCTTGACCCCTGTGCACTTGAGGACCTTGACATGGAGTTCATTGACATTGTCCTCGGCTCTGTTGACACTGCTGTCATCCAGCGTCTTCAGGGCCGTCTCCGTGGCTCTGACATTGGATTCTATGTAACCCAAGGCCTTGGTTCTTTCCTAAATTAAATAAATACACCATAAATGAAATACATGCATGTCCAATAACTATGAACATATTTACATACTTGCATGTACACACCAACTAAAATCAGAAAGTAGCCACTACCTGTCTAACTTTTGAGAAGAGAAGACCCAGATGAGTATTTCACATACATGTGTTTCTGGACCACTCAGCAGTAAGGTTTGTGTGGCATCCATTCATGTTTGTCACTAGTGTATACCATGCACATCTCACAGACTTACCTTGTATAATCTCAGTGCCTGGTCCATAGGTACCTTCAGCCTGACCCAGTAGTCCAAGGTACCATAGAGCAAACCTACGGCACCCTCACCCACTCCTGGAAATATATAGACATACACATTTGGTAACATTATCCATGCTATCTTCTATCTGTCTCACCCCCACCCCTTCACACGCCGGTATTTTTAGTTTAGGATGCCATATACCATAACCAAAATACCCTCTCCCTGACTGGAAATATATAGATAATAATATCTAGTCAGACACAGGTTATGTTATCAATACTTCCCTTAATCTCTCTCTCTCTGTCTCTCAATCACACACATAAAAAGATATTACACACACACACACACACACACACACACACACACACACACACAGAAGGAGAGAGACGCATGCAGATGGTCAGGCTGGCATGCACACACGCGCGCACACACACACACACACACACACACATATACACACACACTCCAGGTGTACCTGCTAGCTGTATGGAGCCGTGCACGCGGCCGTGTGGTTTGTCAAAGATGTCTCTAAACTTGAGCTGGCCAGCAGCTACAGTCTGATAGTTTGTGCCAAATGCCTGGTGAAGTTCTACTGTGGTAGAATCCTGACAGTAACAAATACATAAATACATATTTAATCATAAGGAAATCACAAATGAACACTTAATTTTCTTATTGTCTGCCTAAAGTGACTTTTTTATAAGCAGTTTGGTAAAATGGTTTAAATTAATGTGTTAAAACATGAGAACACACAACAGATGTGACATTTACCTTAGTCAGCGTTGAGATAAGGTAAATTTAAAGACTCATTTCTCAGACAATGTTCATGCTCTCCTTTGGAAATTTATATGTATTAAAAATAAAAGATAACAATATAGAGTACCAGATTGTACACTAAAGAAGGTAAAAAAATTCAAACCAGTATTTAGACTTGGGAACAGGAAGCATCTAATTTTCACAATTCATCTCATTGCATTGACTAGCAAATAATAATGTGATATTAAATGGTGATCATTAATAGTCCACTTACCTTTTGTACATAATGCAAGAAGAAATCATCCACTTTTACCACAAACTGGTATGTGAACTCAAAGTCTGCACTGTGAGAGGAAAAAATACAATCATTACATAATTTTGGCACTTTTCAGAATTCTCATTCAGAACATTATAAGGTATTTTTAAAGTCTTGACATAACAACTTTTTTTTTGTTTGTCTGAATAAGTGTGGGTTAAAATGTGGGAAATGAAATATCCTCTAACCCAAGAAAAGATAGGAGAAAATTATGTAAAATTTGGACATTTACTAGTATCAAATAAAAATGTTAGATTTGTAGAAAAAAAAGAATTGCTTAAAAAATTATATATTTATAATAATTACCTAAATTTTTCAAAATCTTCACTTCTTTAACAATTTAATTTGCCAAGATTTAGTAACCTTTGACACTCGCAAAAATTATTCACTTTCCGACATGAAGACAAACTTTTTTTATACTTTTGAAATACCAACATTTTCGTGAATTATTAACAAAACATTTTGGAGGAAATGTTCTATTCATATTTTTTGAGTTTATTAGATAATTACAATAAAGCCATTATGCCTAGCAGCACACTTACCCGTAAATAACTGTAAACAAACAACTAGTCAGATACTTACACTGCCCCCTTCATCACAGCAGTGGACTGGGTATCAAACTCATAGAAATCATAGGTACAGAATATAGATGGCGCCTCATCACCCAGTTGTTTCAGCCCCTCAGAACTGAGAGTGACCTGATTTTAAGAGAAAGCAGATGATAGAACAGCTTTGGTTTCTCTTTAAGAGTAACAATAATCTTCACTAAATTAAATAAATGGTATAAAGTTTGGATGGAAGATAGCACTTAGTCAAGTGAATCTACAATGGACTATTTCTTCCAGCAGTTTCAGCCCAATTTTGAGCTTTCTAGGAATGATTCAACATAAAATTGAGCTTAACTTGGTCCGAATCTACAACTTAGTCAAAAAGTCACCTCTCTAGTACTCTTAAATACTGTTCAAGAGTTTTTATTCTGACTTCCATTGAAGGGGACAAGCAATTCTTTTCCCTCACACATTTTGACCAAACTTGCTGAACTTTAAGAAAACAACTCTTTTACTTTGAAGATGGCATATTAATTGCTCCTCAACAATTACACTATTAACACTATGTTCCAAAGAGTCTCCCCTTTCCTGCTCAAACAATGGCTTCCTACCCTGAGCGTCAGAGCAACGTAAAAGCTAGCTTGCTAAATATACCTTGTGGTGGAGTCGCTTTTACTAACTCTGAAGACCAGCGGCCATGAAAGTTTTCCATCGATCAAATAGAACTGCTCCGCAGTGAAAATGCAGTTGAATGTCATCAGACCAAAATAAAACGTAAAACAAATTTAATTCTGCTTTATTTAATTTTATTTGCTGTATTTTAGATGTAAAGTGAAAAAATAAATAATATTCTTCGGAAAGAAAAGATATATCCTATGTTTTTGTATTTTTTGCTTATCAAAGAACATTTAGTCCTGAGATATACACGTGCACAATACATGTGCTTGCCGTGTGCCAAATTTGACAGCTACACTGTATGCCCGATACCACTATAAGGGCTGCGCAATGGCTACACGAAAATAAGTTTTTACAGCAGAATGTTGCTTGTATTGTGGCACTGACCTTCGACTGCAAGATATTTTCATTTCAAACTTCTAACTCCGCGTCAGGCACTTTAATTGTTTCTTGTCTCGCCTGCACGAGACTTCAGCGCAAGGCGGGAAAGGCAGCTCCAGGCGGCCAAACCTGTGACGCACGAGACTTATGATTTCCAAATATGGATCCAGGCGGACACAGCTGTGACATGTGACTTCCAAATATGGAAGCGCCCCAGGCAGAATTTTGAAGAAGAACGCCCCCCGAGTTGCCACTGTTCGCTAGAGTCTGGTATTGCTACTATGGGTTATATATGAAATCAAGATCGAGCTGGCAATACCGGAATCTAGAACCTAGGGTATGGCTTCCTGACTGCTAGTCATCTTCACCTGACCACATGGAAAGTCTGTAAACCAAATTTGGTCTGAATGTGTGAGAGAATTATTATTATTATGTGGATTGAATGGACAATGAATGGTGTATTAAATTTGGACAGCTGTTTCCTGTCTGGAGACCACTGAATGTCAAAGCTGGGTGCAATATGGACATGGTAGCTTGGGGCACAGCTACAGGGACCTCTGGTGGCAGTTTATGTGCTTCTGACCTGCCACCTGGTGTAGCACCCATAAACAAACAAACACTCACTCACACCAGCCTTCCATTTACCTTAGAGATGTGTATTTCAAAGAGATTCTCTCCTCTCTGCAAATGCAGGCTCTCGTCAAATTCCTCAACTTCAGACTGGAAAAAGAAAAGGAAAAAAATTGATATATTTTTCCTAACACTAGATGGCCAATGACTGGTGCTTGTATGTGAAATTGCTATTCAATGACTAGTTGTACAGAAAATGTAGCAAAATGCACTAGAGCTCTTAATGCAAAAAGACAGTGAAATATTACAGTCAAAAGTCACATGCTGTAAATGGCCCTGAAAAATGAGTTTTGAATGAACAGAAAATAGTAAGTTGATAATGGCTGCACAGGAGATTATGTGGACAAGATATCTTAAAAAGTCCATCACAAATTTTGGTGTAATTTTCAGAATAGACAGCTATTCATGTTAGAATGAACTGATTACAATTTCAATTGAATTCAGGTTTTCTTTATTTTTAAAGGATTCTTATTCCTTGGCAAAAGCTGTTCCTTACCTCTTCCATTCCTTCCTCTCTGGGAGGTATTCTGTACTGCCTGGTGCCATAGGCAATGTCCTTCAGCTGAGACTCTAATTTCTGAAAAAAGAAATAGATGACCGTTATTAATTAAAATATAAAAGCAAACAATTATCTTTGTAATAGTTTTTCAGCAATCACAAGAAACAAACAAATTAATAACACAATCCTTTTTGAATTTATTAATTTTTTCCGATGAGGTCTCAGTTAATCATATTCTCATAAAAGGATTTTCTGAGTGCAAGAATGTACAAAACGAAACTTTTAAAAAATAACTAGCTCAGGCCCTTTTTTTCAAAAACAAAACTAGCATCTTTTTAATATAGGTGGCTTAGGTGGTTCCAGTGGTGCAGACATAATTGCCATACCTTAATCCGAGCTGCTCGTATGTCCAGCAGGCGAGCATACTCGTCCAGTTTGGTGTCAAACTCTAGTCTGTTCTCTTCCATCTTCTTGGTGACAGCCTCCACCTGAAAACAAATTTTAGCACTGATTTATCTGTAATGCTGATATATACCATTATTTCACTATAATGCCCCCCCTGTTAACTTTGTGTGTTAAAGCATGATGTCAGAGAAATATTTACAAATAACCTACCAATTCAAGACAATCAATCTAAAGGAAAGATTCATGTATAAGTATCTGAGATCAATTCAATTCTGACCAATATGATACTGGTAAAAACAGGGTAAACCAATGTGAAATTATTTATGCATGACAGTGTGTTAGATTTGACAAAATAACACACCTCTTCTCGCATTCACTGTACTTATATTCTCTATTTCTTTTCAAATGTTTCTTTTATTTCTTCAAAACTGTGAAACAGGTAGGACTTACAGAATCATGACAGACATATTGTATTAATAAGATATCTTGTATGAAAAAACTAACCTCCATCTGGTAATCCTTGTTAATCTTATGTTGTACAATCAGCATATTTCTAGTTTTCTCCAACTCATCTATCGTCTCTGCATGTTCTGCCTGCAGCAGTACTACTTGCTTCTCCAAATCTGTGAAGAAAATGGGAAACAAGTTGAAAAATATGAGTAACCCTGTTCATACACATTAAGCTTATCTGTTGTCTCTACAACTTCTAGCTCTTACAAATGAAGAGTTTTTCCATTTCTAGTTTGATGGGTTAAGTGAAAATTTCATTTGCACTTCACTTTATTTCCAATCAATTTTGGAATTCATATTTCCTCTTTGGATTAATAATAAAAGGGAATAGTAGTTTTCTAAACTCCACTAGAACAAGTGACCAGGGGACTGAAAATTTTAGGACTTCCGGAATTTATACAACATAGACAGATAACAATAACACTTCAGAAATTTCAGTTATTTTTATCCATTTCTTTTTATCTTGAATAAACTGTTTCCTATATTATTCTTCAAAAGACTGCCGATCTGTTCAAAATTGACTTTCATAATAAATTATTTTTCTTTCCCTTGATACCAGCTACCTTTATTTTTCTCTTCATCCACTCTCTCCAGAAACTCTAGCTCCAGGTGTGCTTTCTTCTCCTTCTTCTGTTTCACAAGGACCAATGCTTCTTCTATTTCACTGAAGTCTATGGCACTTTCCTACAGAAAAAAGAGTAAGATTTAAACATCTCCATGTCCATTTAGCATAAGGAAATGTAAGATGGTGAATTCTGTGTAAATTCATCATAAATATATGTGTAGCAACGGAAAGATACTTTTGGAAACATCTCTATACAAACCTCCACATTTAATGCCTATGATCTTTCTGTAAGATTTTCATAATATTCCACTTAAAAATCATTAGACATTTTTACTTTAAGAAGAATTCAGCCTTTGTTTAGAGGAAAATAGTGTTATAAGTGAGGATGTGCCCATGTTAAATCATGTAAATGTTAGATGGACAATGTGACCTGGGTAAAAAATGATCTCATATCTGAGATTAAATCCAACCTAAGTTAAGAGGATCAAAAGGTTACAAGAATGAAAACACCCTGAATGTAGAATAATCCTAAATTTAAGGCAAACCTTGGTGAAGAACTTCATCTTCTCTTTCAGTTCATCGTGCTGCTCTTTAAGCTGAAGGTGCTGAAGGTTGAGATCACGAAGCTCCTTTTCCAGGCGTTCATTCGTTTCTGAAATTAAATCGGTTTAATACAGATTAAATACATAAATATTAAATATGTCTACAAAAAAATGACATAACACCCTATACTAGCCGATTTTGTAATTGAATCAATTTGATATCTGCTGTGTAGAAAATGACCAAATTCTTGACATATTTTTGAAATGAAAAGAAAATTAATATTACTAAATTCTGGCATATCTGATATCCTGGTTTAAATGGATTTTAAAATTGTATAATTTTATTTCTTTAGTTGTTAGATCCACAAATGATAAATCTCTGATATTTGTGTTAACATGGTGCATTCAGATTGTCACATAGTTAATCATCCATCATTTGTCACATTGTAGATCCACTTCCAAACATCAATTCAACCAAACAGGTTGCAAAATTTATCTAAGCTCTACAAATCTTGATAATACTAGTGCATGCCACACTCTGTATCAAGTTATTCTTTAATTTAACATATTTTTTTTAAACTTGCCACTTACTAAATGAAGAAAAATGCATGCATTCTGTCCTAGTAAAATACATACTTTTCCTAAAATCTACGATGGATTGACATTTTTTATCTTTAAATCTAACCTCGCTAAAGTAAATATTGATTGCATGTCATTAAGTAAGAATTTCTACACATGCTAAGATCTAAACATCTGAACTGTGCTACCCAAATTTTGAGAGTTGAGATTACCTCTTTCATGAGATAACCTGTCTAATATTCCACCCTTTTCTCCGACGTCTGCTTTGAGAGTGGCGTCTAACTGAGCAATCTGGACTTTGAGGGCCTGCTCCCGCTGCCGCCACTCCCGTTCTCGCTCAAGGTCAAAGGCACTGAATTTTAAATTCAGACAGTTACTTGAGTTATAATAATATTTAAACTTAAAAATATAATTTTGCCAAAATACTCAAATTTATAAATTTCAGCGGTAAACATAATTATTTGTAGCAATGGCCTTTGGACAGCCTTAACTGTGGTATTTAGGTAAGAAAAACATTAATCAAGGTATAAGATGTCTATAACTTGAAAAGAAAATTTCTGAGATTAGCAAAAACTTTAAATTTGTTTAGTTGTCAGTATTTTTCCATTATCCATCAACCAGCCAACATGAAAGTTTTGAACAGAATAATATTCTGATTACATAAGTTATATAATATGTATGCAAGACAATATTCAACTTATCTGAATGAGGTAAATTAAAAAATTGCAAGACAATATTCAACTTATCTGAATGAGGTCAATTACAAAATTGCTGCAGTTTCTTATTCTCACTTAAAATGTGTTAAAAATGTCAACATTTTAGTAATGTAATCAATTCAATACCTAGAAACTAGTTTCTCATTAGCCTCTTTCAAAATTTCACTTTCTTTCTTCAAATCAATTATCTGTTCTTCAAGTTCCACAATTTTCCTCCGACTTGTGCTGCCAAGTTTGAGCTCATTCTGCAGTGACATCACCCGGTTTTCTTCCTGCTTCAATTGCTGGTTTAGAGCCTCCATTTCCCGAAGAACTTGGTCATGGCTGGACTTAACAGTGCGCAGGTTCTAAAAAGTACAGGACATTTTAATACAATACTGTATCACCTTTATTCTATATGAAATATGATGAGAGTTTTAACTCTGATATTAGAGTTAGGAAATGACATGAGATAACTACAGAGCATTTCTAGAATGCAGATCTCTGCCAGGAAAACAAAAAAAAAAAAAAAAAAAAAAAAATCTCTACAATATTTCTGACTTAAAATTGTAAGCATTTTTTTCCCATCTGGATAACTGTGTGTCCTAATATTATCGTCAAACTTATCAAGACCTTTTAGAGATATCTTGTCTAATAAGAAACTAACAAACCAGAGCCACTGAAAAAATAACCTCCTTTGGTAGAGATAATAAATTGCATGGTTTTATATGTCATCTGACACAGGTACAGCAATTTCTAAATCCTCTAACCCCACCCCACTCACACCCTCTCCCCTTATGACATATGACTCTTACCTCTTCCATCCTGGTGTATTTCTCCTGCAGTGAGGTGAGTTTTGTGGCTTTGTCTTTAACCTCCCTCTGCAGCCTGATTAAGTCCACATTTTCTTGCAGAGTTACTCTAGAATAAAATCAGTTAGACACTTAAATTGTAATATAATTGTAAACAAATAAGACATATTATAGTAGAGAGTTTAGTAATAGTATACTTAATGTAGAGTAAAGTAAATTAGTACATAGGATTGTTAAATGTTTTTCTTTGGAGATGACTACATGTTTTATGCAGTTGCAATACAACATTCAAAATACATGCAAAAACAATTCACTCTAAAGTCAAACCTTTGTTCAGCAGACATCTGTTGCTTTATCCTCAGCAAATCCTCCTCAAACTCTGCCTCTTTTACTCTAAGCTGCTCCCTCAAAAACTCAATGTCCTGTTCATAAATATTGATCTGTTCATTTTGCTGTTCAATCACCCCCTCTCTGAAATATAAGTAAGGTAATTATTCTTTCCATAAATTATTCTTTCCTCAAAATGATGCTTTGTTAGCCATACCTTAAACAGATGACTTGAAAGCTTTGAAAGGCAACTTTAAAAAACATGCCTTTGTATAAGATCTAGGACTACATGAAGGGCATTAGAAAGCCTGCTACTAAATATAATACATGTGCTAATGCATGATCCACGTGTATAGGAATTCCAATAATACTCAGTCAACTTAAATACACAATTTTTAAAATCTAAATTTCTAATAGTTGGGCGCACAATATTTGCCAAAAGATAATTTTCTGACATCTATTGACAGACAATATAAGTCTAAAAAGAGTTTAAAAAAAAAATTGTATATACATCATCTCAACTGAGTGCGTAATAATAGTTACAGTGTTGACTTACAGGTGCCTATTTTCTGCTCTAGCTTCTTCTAAAAGACTGTGTCCATATCTGGGAAGTCCTGGGCTGTGAACAGACCTGAAAAAAAAAGTAAGGACAAATGGCTTAATACGCCCTTCTCTAGATTTCTCTGTGCTATTATAGTATTTTTCTTTTTGTACTTATTTTCAATGAAGATGTTTGAAATTATGGAAAGTTGCTTATAATCTCCTGATAATGAAAAACAAGACCAGAATATAACTAGAAACTAAACAAATTAAATTAAACATCTCCCCCCCTCCCCCTTCCCCCCCAAAAATCCATTTTTACAGCCGAATAAAGCCATGGATTCCACCACTTATATGCTGCAGAATCAGTTGTGAACATGGATCTATCACAATTTAGTTTAGCCAATCATATCTCTTGACATCAAAACATGTGACAAGCTGTAGCCAATCCCAGCACTACATGTTTACCTTTGTGACTCTCTTGGCCCAGCCACTCTTAGGTTCCGTGTTATCCTCTCTGAGGTGGGAGGCTTGGGGATTCCCTGCAAAACAAAATTAACTTACAGACTATATTGAGAGCCCAGATCTAGATGATCAAAATTTTCTTTTGAATTACACCATGTCATATTATATATAATATTTTCTAATGCTATTATATTATGTCAATATTGGAATATAAGTTTTAAATTTGTATGAAATGGGTAATTTGATTTCCATGCCAACTTTGAAAGATTGTCAGCTCAGACAGCTGCCCTCCTCTCTGCCTCCATTCCCCCCCCCCCAACCACCACCACTCACAATAATGTTGCCACTCACTAGAAGTATGTGAGTAAACCCACAATGAGTAAGTTGACAGAAAGAAATGACTTTGACCAAAGAGATTTGCTTTACATTTAGTATTTATTAAGAATTCTGCATGGTGCCTCAACTTAATTGCTTTTCACTTCAAATACCCCAGGACATTTTTTAGAATGTAAAACATTTACTATAAAGCTGCTATCTGTTGGCTATATCACAAAGACATTAAATGATTAAACTGTCAGACAGATAAAACTGTGACCAAAGAATTTTTATTTGCACATTAAATACTCACGGTGTTTATTCTGGATTCCACATGACTGTATGGAGTATTCCGTTTCCCCTGCGTGCTAAGTTGCTGCTTGGTTACCATCAGCTGAGGAGAGGAGAGGAGAGATGAGAGATCGATTAAAGCCAAATTTTATAAGTGAACTATTTTTATACAGTTGAGAAGTTTTTCATATAAATAAGGCTGTAGTGACCACATCAAAGACCATCATTATTTAGGAAACATAAACCCTGTTTTGTACTGTTATCCCTATTTGCTTTAAATTCTGTTTTCTGTCACCTTCTCTTTCAAGAGGCCGTTTTCTTTTTCCAAATTTCTGATTTTTCCATGGAGTTCCTCCAACATTTCCTCCGTTTCTATGTCGCGGACTCTTTTTGCTAGAAAAAAAATTAATAATAATTAAAAGAAAAGAAAAAAATTACACAACCATACCAGCTGTATAAAAAACCTAGCTTACTAATAAATCAATCACAAAACTAAGATTTTCTATCACCTTTTAAAAATTATATATATATATATATATATATATATATATATATATATATATATATATATTCTTGCAGTCTGCTTACAAAATGCCAAGGAATATTCAGTTAGTAATGACAGTTGGACCAGTCATATGGGAGAGCCATTATCATGTCATTTGACAAAGTACTGATACTGATTTTCTCTGAAGAAATTTTGCTATTTGACAAACACCTTATTAGTAGTGTTTTAAGACATATGTATCTACTTTAATGTAATTGCTTTAACTTGTTTGAATTTATTGAGTATTAAAGCCAAAGGTTGGTGGTTCCTTACCTCCAGGTTCTTGCTGTGCTTTCTTCTTATCACTGACTAACCTGAGCAACTTGGTGGCCATCCTGTAACAATGGACCATAAAATAGTACTTTCTTCAATTTTAAAACATGCAATGACTATGTTATTGTATGCTTTTAGAAATAAACTTACAAATTATCATCTCACATCCTGGTTGCATTTCAAGGTTACCCAGGGCTGTGCCTTATGTCTTGTTTTTAAAGAGTTGGCTTATTGATGTTTCTTTTTTTAAGTACTACGATTATAAGATAAAATTTAATTTTCCCCAAAACTCATCATTCTTTGAACTGTTAGCTTTTTTCCATTGATAATTTTTTGTGTTTCAAATAACTTATATGATACATTTTCTTCTATTGAGGGATTATTTTTGATTTTCCATCTATCATATTTTAATAGTTAAGATTACTATATCCTTTTACCTTTTTATCTTGTCTTCTTGTTTCCTTGCATGTTTCTTGAGCAGTAAGTTCTCCTCATACATCCTAAGATATTTGTCCTCTAACTCCTCTTTGCTCCATCTCGCCACCATCCTCCTCTGCTGGGCAGAACGCTGGGCCACAGCATCTGCCAGGAACAAAGATATGGTCATTTCACATGAAATTTTAACAGTCAAGTTTGATTTTTTTTACAGGTCCAAAATCTGTGCAATCTTTGAACTAGAAAAAAATGTGGTTTCACAAAAGTTTTGGATCTAACTATCTAAATTTGAACAAAAACTAATTTTTTTCACAATTCCTTAACTAGTACATGTTTACAATAGCCGTAAAAGGTGGTTCTAAAGTTCCAAAAATTGAGTTGGTTTCATGTATGGAAGTATGTTTTTGCTAGATCAAAAACTAATAAACCTTTTAAAAGGTGAAATATTGGTGTACTTGTAAGACAAAGTACTAAGTATGGAGTTAGAAATTTGTGAGATACCCTATCCAAGGACTTACTAATTTCAGGGTGTAACTAAATAATAACCTTTAATACAAAAACTTTTTGAGTGAGAATTGGAATGAAGCAATCTTAAGATGTTTTTATTGGTTTGTTTATTTAATAGTGCTCTTTCCTTAGCTGCAGTCCTAATACAATAGTTAATATTTTATACATAAAAGAACAATTTCAGGTAAATACAGTGTACATAAATAGATCTGAATTTTCAAAATACAATTTTCAAAAAGAAATCCGAATATGTAGTAATTTTTTCTTATAATGTCTGATATGTCTCATGCTCAACTGCCTGTTAAAAAGCAGGCTGAATTTTGAATGAGGCAAAAAAAAAAAAAAAATTAAAATGTTAAAAAATGCTGGTTTTAATCCATTTTTAAAAATCAAGGTGGCAACAGAGCGTGATGGGACCTAAAAGTATCTTACCTCCATCTTCCAGTCTGGCCCCGGCAGCAGTCTTGGGTTGGAGTCTGGGCTCTTTACTGGGGATCCAATCGCCGTCATCTGCCATACTGGACACTTGATATGAGCTTTGTAAGTGCTTTTTGTTTACTTTATCTCTTCATCCTTTGCTAGTGACATCATTGCACAGGGGAAAATAAGTTCCTGAGAGAGTTTAAACAAATAATAATAATAATAATAATAATAATAATAATAATAATAATAAAGTCAAATATTTGGATACTTCTGTATACATGTTAGTTTTTTCTGGTACTTGTAGAAGTTATGCAGTATGCCCCAGCCCACCCCAACCCTCCTAAATTCTAAATTCAGCTACCAGTATGTGATGACTTAGATTAATGTTTCGGTTATTCAGACAATAAAGACAATTATTATAATCATATTCACTGATCTGCCATAAGCTGAAATAACCCATCTCCAAAGGCTATGGAAATATGAAACTTACCCCCCCCCCTCCCCCTCCCCCCACCATCCCAACTGTTATCACAAATCCACCGACCCCCCTCCCCCAAAAAACTTAATTTTTCGATATTAAATTTACATTTCTACTACATGATGATCTAAAATTATTACCAGTATGATCAATTTATGCTATATTACTTACCATTTTGCATTTCATCTGCATTTAACTCCATAAATTAAGCAAGAACAGTAAAATTGTTTTTCCAAAGAACATTTTCTTTCAAAAATTTAGAACAGCCGGAAGTTTACATTCCCACAATGCAATAGTGACGCTATAGAAAAGACTAGCATCGGCTTTATCTCTGCTGAGCCCAAGAAAAGCTTACGCCGTTTATTATTATTATTATTATTATTATTATTACGAATCAGTGAAATTACTTCTATCAATTATGCTATTTTGCACCGAATTTTTTCCATTTTGTCCTTTTCTTTGAGTTCACCATTTCAGTAGAAACTGTTACTTTGTTGGTCAAAATTATATTTGCTTCCCTTTTCATCTATTTTTGTTTGTTTATTTTTTGTTTGTTTGATAAAGCTTAATGATTATTGGTCTAGAAATAAAAATCAAGAACCTTTTTCAATGGGATAGGCAGGATGGAGCCGTTTTCCTATTCCCGTTACATGTATCCCATATTTCAGTCTCTCCCAACCAGAGGAGCCAGCTGCATATCTCATCACTGGTCTTTGTTTTTGTTTCATTTCACATAACTCCGCGCACTTTCCGCCTTTCTCTTCCATTTTCCTCATTTCCCCTAGAAAATAACGCAAAGTCAAGAGGGCACTGCGCAATTATATGATAAAAGATATACGTCTTAACGCCGCATTTGTTGAACCAATAGAGGAGCTAATGATACCAATTTAGGCACCTTCAGTGCTGACAAAGCCAGTCTGTTTCATATCCGGTTGCTACCCCTATCAACGCTTTTAAACTAAGTATTTGATTGTTTATCTTTTAAAAATTGTTTTAAGCATTGTTAAAACACTTTGTATTTGTGCTTTTTTCTATTAACGTTTTCGTATCAAGGTAGCTGTCATTTTCAGTTTTCCTTGTTATTCTGTCTCTTGCTTTTTACTGAGACTTTATTGTATTTGGTATAACATGTAAATCATGTAGCTGTTTTTCAAGTGAAACAGTCAGAATTCTGTAAATCAAAATATTTTAGTAATTTTAAAAACAAAGATGAAATGAGCTAATTCAGAGCTGATTTGACTGGGAGCTAGAAAAACGGGTACCGCGTCAGGTTTCTCTGCTCAGCTTGATGGGGTCGCAACTCATGTCAAAAGTTGAGAGTTGCGAAAACAATCGCAAGCAAAGGGGTCATCATTTCTCCCTGTTATCTGCAAGCACGAGGAATCTGTGTATGAAAAGTCACGCAAAATAAATACCATTCTGTTTTGGATAAGTTTCCAGAACCACAAAGTCCCACTGTAAACAATTCTCCGGTACCGCTCGGTTCCAGGGTTCGTTTTATAAGGAAAAGGGAAATTTGCTTGATATGAATTATGAGTTAGTCTCCAAAGGTTTTCCCCTCAAACAGACAGTGAGAAAGACGGAGAGAGTCTAATTTTAATCCGGCATCTTTTCCGAAAGCGATACAGGGGACCTCTGTTCAGGTATGTAAACTGTTGTCTGAACATATGTTAATTGTCATCAGGTCTGCTTCCACCCTAGCCAATTGATATTCAAACATGGGATGAGACAAGCCAATGAAAACTGGACATGACTTCGGTTGTTTCACACGCGATCCTACAATCCAATGAAAAAAGGAAATAGTAGAGCTTGTTTAACGGGACATTGGGCACATCAATGAAAAATAGGTAATTTGGAATCGTTCCGAGGTTTGCAAACATTATCGGTTGCACAAAGGTTTAAGAAATATGGTGTTTTTTGTGTCTGCATTTCGTTTTCATCACGTACGTCTCTTTTTTGTACATCCCAACATGCAATGGTATCGTCTTATTCTTTTACTTCTTAGATAAAAGAAATAGTCGCATAAAGATCTTCCCATATTTAAATACTTTACAAGTATGGAATATTTGCAAATAATTATTCTTAAATGTTTACACAGTTTTGAAAAATTCACTTCAATTCAGATCACTTAGTGTTTGAATAAACGGACGATTGAAATAAAATATGTCAAATATTTGCGAAATCTTTTAGGTTTATATGTTGTAATGATATAGAAACAAAATTACTGCATAGATTCTCAAGATTAGATAAAGAAAAAACGATAGTCGCCCTGTTTACCCAAATGCTCCTACAATACACTTGACTACAGAGCATTAGAAATCCAAGTCTTGTAATATCAAAAATTTGATATTATATGACAAAATTAGCACTAAGAATATAAATCAATACTAATTGTTAATATGCATTGATAAATAATAATAATAATAATAATAATAATAATAATAATAATAATAATGCATGACGGCAAATCATGTGTTAGTCAAAAACGGTATTGTTTTATGAGTTTTGTGGCGAAGGTGGATGTAAATGTTTAACTTTCCCCCAAAAACATAAATAAACAAATAAAGAAAGAAAGAAATTAAATAAATAAATAAATAAATAAATAAATACAAGATAGCAGGCCATGTATGAAACTGAGACACAAAACCCACGGTGGCGCTTTGTTTTACATAATTCGCCGTCTGTTTCAGTTTCGAATTTAATTCAGCGCAGCGAAAGTGATTTCCGATGCAGCTCTTGATAAAAGCAATCAAATCAACATCACTTACAGAACATCAAATCAGAATCTACAGCTCATCTTCAATGTCGAACTAATATGAAATTTCCAAATGGAACAGGAACTTATTAGCCACGTATTCAATCTATAAAGTGACAGTTTGCCGATGGGAAATTGACGTTCTATCTTAGAGCATCAATATCAGGATAATAATGGCTAAGACGCATTAGTCTCATCTTCCTGTGTCTTTTTGTCGTAAATTGACTGGAAAACTGAAAAGAACTTAAGAAGAACTCTTGGTTTTTTTCCGTCAGCGCGCGGTTTAACATCATGTTACGAGAGTGCGCTATTCTTTTTCGAAACTTCGGTCCGCTCTGTTTGGGTTAGTAAATCTAAACAAATCATGTAATGCTTTTTTAACATTGCTCATATGTGAGGACCGGGAAATTTAGCTGTCTGATGTTTTCTCAAACGAGTAACCATTATCATAAAGTCTTCTGCCCTCTATTCCATTCTCTATTCCATTTTCCAAAGAATAGAACGCAGAACAAAACGTGATGTACATTTTTGTTGTTTTCCAGTCTTGTAGAGTCGGTTTCAATCAAGCCTTCAACTTATATATTGTCACATATTGCAATTGCAAAATGAATGTTCCATATTATTTTGTCAAGCTCTTTGAATCTTACGTATTTTTTCTTACATCAAACAACTTAGATTTTTCTCTTTTTCTTCTTCTTCTTACGCACAGTCACCGCAAAATTCATTTACTTTTCATTTATTTACAGTCGGAAGACTGGCTTGATTAAATAGGGACCCTTTTTGATAAAATTTGAATGATCATTTTGATCATTTCCTTTCTTTGTTAATTCAACGAGACAATGTAACATAAGAATACCCTGGAAAAAAGAATGTAAACGAAGATGATGAAACAAAAAATAGTAACTGAAATGATATCCCGAAGGCGAAGGACGTGAAAATATAGGTTATGAAATAAAAAGGAAGTGACAAAGACATTTGTTATTTGGTTTAATATACCCAAAGGAAAAGACATTTCAGATTTCTCCTTCAATCTAGGTTACTTGTACTACATAAGGCGACAGTTAAGGAGGCAATGGACGTTTTTTGTTTTTTTGTTTTTGTCTTCTAAAGACGCTTACCTGAAGCTTACAATTTCTTGTATCTAGTAATCAGGAGGATTACAACGACAATCGTAACCCTTTATCTGACATTCGTTTACATATTCATTTCAGGTCTTTCTGTTCATGTATGGTTGTCTCTCTTCTTGTGGAAGAAGGACCGCTAATGGCAAAAGCCTTCACGACCGGTCGTTAGGACCACATCTCGTACTACTAAATAAAAAAGACATAAGGGGACATGTTTTAGCAAATAAAGAGGGTTTTGTGATCAGTTGCCATTGTTTGACTAAAATATGCCATATTTTGACATCTTTAACCTCTTTAGCTGTAAATAAAAATAATAAAAAAATCCAAATACCAATGATGTAGTATCGCCGAAATGCAAAATATGATCTGGAAAACGGACATTGTTTTAATTTTTCATTAAAATAGTCGACACGAAACATGAAGGTAAAATTAAATAAGGCTCGATTGAAAAAATCTGTTTTATGAGTATTCAAAGCCGTTTAAAATAAGCTCTCAGAATTATATTCATAAATTTAGGATGACAATTTGAAAATTAACACTAAGAAAATGATGACCAAATTTGCAGATTGCGCAAAATCAAATAAGCTTGAAAACCTTAAGGTGATTGAAACTATAAGCTGCAGTCAAACTATGTTTGAACGCATTTTTGCGTTCGACGAAGTGTTCATTTAAACCATATTGTCTTCTTTTTTGATTATATATTTTTTCTAACGCACTATACTATAAAAACATTAGTACTAATACCACGCCTTTGGCCACCAAGTGGCATTATTTTAAAGCCATCATTACCCGAAGAGTGTTTTCTTCAGCCGGGTCAAAATAATATCCTCCAACTTTTTCCGCCTGACTTTCTAATAACAGAGAGAGGAAGCGCAAGGATGGAAAAGAGATAAAAGAGAAACAGATTGTCACAACCCATTAGGCCTTTCTGAAAGTCAATATCCGATCTGATTTTTAAAGATCATCTCACCGAACGCTTGATTAACTGACTAAATGTCATTTTGTTTTCTGATATGATATTAGAAAAAAATGGTGATCTGACAAACGGTGGGATATTTTTCTCCGTAGTCGGAGACTTAAGCTTGTAAACAAAACGGGTTGGCTTGTAAAATTTTGTGCCCAGATTTAGTGATTTGTCTTCATAACGAAGGTCACACAAAGAAACTTTTATCTCGGGAAACAGTTCCAAAGCAGTCATGTCGTGCTGTAGGAATATTGTCACTGCCCTTTTTTATCGCCAATCTACGTCAAGATGTTAATGTCTGAAGGACAAAATGTCCATATGAAGACTTACATGTATAAAGAGAGTAGAAAGATAGATTTTTGATAGCTACAAGGCAAAAATAGTAAAGGCAACAGCAAAGTATATCGTAAGAGAAAACTCGGATCTATTGCGCAGTATAAACGCTCT